AACCAGTTTTGCTGCTGACAACCAAAACTGGTTGATCCACCCTGAGACGGTGCTATTTAAGAGACTGAGCTGAATACAGCTCCTCAGACTGAGGAAGTCTCTCGGATGAGAGACGAAACGTTTCTACATTTTTTTGTTGATTTGCTTTGTTTTTTTGGGGGGTTTTTTATGTCCAGAGGACCAGATTTAACTTTTTTAGATTGTGGCTGCAAGGTTGTCTGTGCTTCTCACAGTGGCCATTCTCGAATGTTGCTGGCTGATAGGATGCCAGAAGCAACTGAAGAGTATTGACAGGCCACACGAGCTGCAGCCCTGGCTTTTGCTGAGGCAACAGCTCAGATGTGGAAGGAGTTCGGTGAGGTATTGGAAAAAGATTCTGTATCAGTTTCGAATAGATTCTGGCAAATCATCAGGTGGCTGAGGCTGGGAATGCAGCACTTTGCCAACCCTGTGTATTATAGGGGTGGGGTGCTGTTGACCTAACAAGTGATGTTGTTGAGTGATGGAAGAAATATTTGGAACTTTTAATCCCACCAACATGTCTTCAATGGAGGAAACTGAGTCAAGGGACTTGGGGGGTTGGTCCATCTATAACCGAGGCTGAGGTCTCTGAGGTAATGTAAAAGTTCCATAGTGGCAGTACACCATAGGTGGATGTGATTCGACCTAATTCCTCAAGGCTGTGGATGTTGCTGGGCTGCCTTGGTTGTCAAGCTTTTGCAACATGGTATGGACATTGGGGCAGTGCCACAGGACTGGCAGACTGGAGTGGTTCCCCTCTTCAAAAAGGGGGACTGGAGGGTGTGTTCCAATTATAGGGGCATGATTCTACTTAGCCCTCCCATTGGAGAAGAGAGTCCAATCGTTGGTCAAATCTCAAGCTCAGGAGGAACAACATGTTTACGGTCCTCATTACACCTGATGGACTTTATCTGTAAATGCACTGGCACAGTCAGATTAAAGCTTGTGCAGAAGCTCATTAGGTTGAAGCACCATCACACAATGGTTGCACAAACCATAAGTATTTATTTTTAAATGCTATTTTTTCCCCTGCTTCCTCTGCTTGCATCAGGTGCCGGTGTTCCCCAGTTTCAGCCCATCCTTCTGAACAGTGGATCTCGAATCCAGCTGCTGAGCAATGGCTCACTGCTCATCAAACACGTGTTGGAGGACGACAACGGCTTCTACCTGTGTAAGGTCAGCAACGATGTTGGAGCTGACGTCAGCAAGTCCATGTACCTCACCGTCAAAAGTAAGAGCCTGCAGCTGAAGGTTCACAGCAATGCCATGAATGTGTTAGTATTTCAGTGTCAGGGCTTTTCCTCCTTCACATGAAAGAATGAATTATAGGACATATTTTAATAAAAAATTCAGAGAGTAATATTTGGAAATATGTCTGCAACTGATTAACTTTTAGAGTCATTTCAATTCAAAATGGCCACCACAGCAAATATATCTTATCAAATACAAAAATGTCTCTAAATTAGTCAGTTTTACAGATATTGAGCTAAATTTGCTGTAGTAGTTGCAAAGAATCATTCACAACTTATAGTCTGAGTACTAACTGATTGTGTATTTAAAATTTTGCTAGTAACTATTGAAGTCAACCATGTTTGTCAGTTAGCAAAATATCTTGTAAATGACTAAACATATTTTATTAATACTTTCAGAAAGCTATCACTGGATGTACATCTAATACAACCAATTACCTTTGGGACTCAACCCAATTCACAATGTGAACCACAGCCAGATGACCTTAAAAAGCACTAAAATAATTATAACTTAGGCAATGTTACACCTGGTGAAACAAAAAAATTGTGTGATTTTAGCTGATTATAGTGCCCAGCACATACAGTACTTTGAGTGCAACACATTGTGCAACTTTGCTTAGAACTTTGGCATTAGCTTTTGGTGTTAAGTCTGTTTTCTGTCAGCAAAATAAATTAAGATGAATTCAATATGGCTGTTACATCTAAATGACCTTAGCTTAATGCAAAATGGTTATACCGTATTAAATGTTACCAACACTAAGTCAGATTTGGTGTGGTAGTATCTACGAATCATTCACAGCACATACTTTGTGCTTACAGCTCATGTGAGATAACGTGATATATTGCATTGCATGAGATCACACAAAATAATATTTTCAATTTAGACCAAAACAGCCGCAACTCTATAATTTCTCAACATAAACTTCAGGTGATTCAAATGATGTTTTACAGTAAATGGTTAGAAACATTATTGACAGTAATCCTTCATTTAAATCTAATTACGGTACAAAAAAAAGGCATCTATTCAGTCTGTTAAAACAGTATGGGATTATAACCAAAACCATTCAACGATGAAGAGCTACTCAAACATTTATTTGCACAAATCTTTTCAAGCAACGACAACTTAGCATCTTTCTTAGAGCTCACTGTCACCAAGCATGCTCCAGTTTTATACTCATGCATCTCACCTGTCTCTGCTGGTATGTTAATGTCAGACTCCAGGTTTTCTGCCTCCACTGAGCATTTGTATGTAGCTCCCCTGCAGCGTGAAGAGGGGGCTCCTCATTTTTCTGGTGCTTGGATGGGAGTGTGTCACATTTTCACTTTGCTTCAGTCATCAAACTGGAGCACAAGGCTTCCCACTAATGGACGGCTCTGTATGTGTCTTCTTCGGCTCTTCCTAACCTCACCGCTCTGTTAGATGGAAGTGTGAGCATTTCACATCAACTTGACAAAAGTTGAAGATAATACTGGGAAAGATTTTATCTTGACTCTGACCTTTACCCTTTTTGTAAGACATTTTGTGTAGAATGTTCCTTTTGGGTAATGCATTTGTTTTACTGTTGGTTATGGATATTTATGTGTTGCTGTTATTAGGTTTTGCAGTGTAAAAGGCAGAGAGCTGTCAGTACTGCAGCAGCAAGCTCAGAGGCAAACAGAACTGTGTTTTCATAGGTCAGTTTTCTGACTGTGCCTCTCAGTTGCTATGCAGCAAAATGACCCATGCTTGTACTAACCTTCCTTATCTATTTTCTGACACTGAGAGCAAACACTGCTGCTTTATCCACAGTTGGCTCCACTCTCATTAGCATATAAAACTGACAACAAAAAAATGGAAAATTGTACAGGGTATAAAAACAATCAAAAACCTGCATGTGAAAATATACTTAAAATGGTAAAGATTTGGTTTAAAAAAGCATGCATTTGTTGGAGTCATGGAAAGTTTTAAGCAGTTTAGATTGATAAGCTACCACTTCTGATATGTGCGTGAGTTTTTCCATCATGTGGCTTGGAAGAGGTCAGTACCAAGTGTGAAGTGAAGATCAATCTAAAAGTATGTGTTTATCACTCTGCTTTGCATCCTTGAGAGAAAGTTTTTGGTCTAGCCCCTGCTACACTAGTCCACATTTAAAATATTATATGTGTTTTCTTCATTTAGTAACAAAAATACATACATTCAAACATTCTAACAAAAACTGTGAAATACCCATGCAGAGCCACTAAGTAGTGAGCATGTCCACATTAGCAATGTCAAAATCAACCATGTAAATACATATACGTTATAAATACATTTGTAGCTAAAGTTTCTTCCAAAACAATTGTAACTTATTTATATCCTTGATATTGATTACAATTTAATCTCAGTTTTTAACCTCTTCTGTACATGATCAAAGTTGAATAGCAACAGGGTCAGGATAAATACCATTCCATCCATCCCTTATCTTTTGCTTGTTCCAAAGTCGAGTGGGCAGCAGCTTGAGCAGGAAGGCCCAATCATCTCTTTTCACAGACACCTCTTTCAGCTCTTCTGGGAGGACTCCAAGGTGTTCCCAGGTCAACCGGGAGACGTAGTCTCTCTAGCGTGTCCTGGGTCTTCCTCTGGGTCTCCTCTCTGTCAGACATGCCTGAAGCACCTCTCTAGGGAGGCGCCCATGGAGCATCCTTACCAGATGCCCGAACCACCTCAACTGGCTCCTGTCGATGTAGAGGAGCAGCAGTTCTACTCCAAGTCGCTCCAGGATAACTGAACTTCTCACCCTATCTCTAAGGGAGAGTCCAGCTACCCTGTGGTGTGGAAGAAACTCAAATCAACCACCTGTATCCAAGATCTCATTGTTTCGGTCAAGGTAGGAACGTAGACTGACCGGTGAACAGAGAGCTTTTCCTTACAGCTCAGCTCCTGCTTCACCACAATGGACCAGTACAGAGTCCACAATACTGCAGATGCTGTACTCCATCTGTCACTCTCACGCTCCATTCTTCCCTCATTTGTGAACAAACCCTGAGATACTTGATCTCCTCCACTTGAGGCAGAACCTCACCCTCGACCTGAAGAGAGCAATCCACCGTTTTCCAGTTGAGGACCATGGCCTCACATTTGAAGGTGCTGAATTTCATACCAGCTGCTTCACACTCGACTGCAGACTGCTCCAGTCAGAGCTGGAAATCACGGCCCAATTACGCCAACAGGACCACATCATCTGCAATGAGCAGAGAAAGGATAAATACCAACAAAGACAAAGTCATTTAAATGACTCCATTGTTGTTTTGGTTTTTAGGGCACATTGTGATAGTCATTACAACAGGTGTCTACGTCACTGTTTCTCAAATCTGAGTTTGTCCAGTTTACAGGGTAATACCTAAATAAGAGCTTTTTTTTAAATAAATGTAGTTATTATAAAGCATTTTTTTTAATCATAACCTTTGTAAGTGGAGGGGAAGTGCAACCAGCAGAAAATCTGTTGAAAAAATACCTGGAGTGATGCAGACAGGGCCTAAAACTCATATTCATAAAACTAAAAGTGCTTTTGATTCTGTCACTTTTGAGGAGTTGAATAAGCTAAAAAATACATTGTGTAATGATGAGTGTGTGGTAAAAACTGAGTTTGTACCTCAGTATTTAAAAAAAAACCACTTGACACATCCAATGCACTTTGCTTCTGCACCAGGCCTAATTCAGTATGTTAGCAAATTGCTGTTTTTTTGTGTGTATTGGCAAAAGTTTTTATCAGTAAAGACCATATGAACAGCTGAAGTCAGTACATTTACATTAACAACATTGTACTCATTTTCATTTTACTGATTGCTCAGATGCTCTACAAAATGCCATCACATGTTGCAGAAGGTGAACCCAGTTCTGTCCACGTACCCATGAATAATGCTTTGTCTTGCTTTATTTTAACGTTATGATTTTGTTAGCTTTGATGTAGCTTTATGTTCTTCGTGATCCTTTGCTCTACCCTCCCCCTGCTGCCACGGGCTGCTCAGACATTACGAGCCGACCCAGCTACATGCTTTTTACTCATTAACAGCTCACATTTCACATTTCAATCCCCGAAATGTACTTATGTATTCAAGGGACTTTCAGTAAAGAAGTACTGGCACGAGTGGCTTGAACATGGGAGACACTTACTGTAGTCTTTTTCACCAACACCATCATGTCTAGAACTCTGTCCGTTTTCAAATAAATGTTGCTCGTCATCCTTAAAAAGCATAGCACTCAGGTCTCTCTTTTAAATGAGTGCCCGAGGCTCATTTGGACTAACCTGTATAAATAAAGGTTGGATATATCTGTCTTTATGAATATCATGGATTACATTTTATTACAAGTGAGTGTGTGTCCAAGCAAGCAGTTTTATTTTATTTTGTTATTTTTGGTGTGTGCATTTTGCTCGGTTCATGCATTTATTGTGTGCATCTGTTTGAGACGTTTGAACTCTTGTGTGCATTTCTGCCTCATTTAAATCTGTCAATACCTCAATTAGAATCGGGCATAGAGCTCAAAGCAAGTGCCGTCTGCATGTTTCTCTGCTTTATTTGCACTTTCGGTTCTACTTTGTTTCTTACACATCCAGCCGGAAGAGAAGAGAAAGATTAAAAGGAGAAATAAACTGTTTTATTTTAAACAATTTAGTTTTATCCTACATCAAGTGTCTGGATATGCTGTTGGAGCCAAGAAAACATACATTTATTTCAGATTTTAGATCACAACCACAACAATACTTTAAATCTAATTAATAGTGAATCTAGAGATTTTGTCTCTAATTGATTGTACATAATTTTGTAATTAGTGGTCTAATTGCTGGAAATCAACAATTGAGTATTAAAAGGAGAAGCATTTATTCCATTTGGAAAGCTAAAGAGCTGAACTCATTAAAAAAAGGCTCTTTTTACAACGTTGTTCCATTCTAATTGACTTTTATTCACATCATTACTTCAAGCTGAATTCAAAATGACCCAGTATGAGAATTGTGTTCATCAG